CATTGCACTTGCCAATGCCCCCTGCCTACATGCCCTCTGCCTTGACCCTTCTGGTTGCCAGCCCTCTAGAAGGCCTGCCCACCGGCATCACCAGACTTCATCCAGTCCATTTGTAACCATGCCTCAAAGGCGCTACCTGATCCAGCCGCTACAATACGCCCTCGTGCGAGCCCTTCCCACTGTGTGCTGGAATGACAGTCCCAGGAATCCTGTGCCGTCTGTTCATAATTCCCAGATGGTGTGTTGTTCTGGCACAGTGAAGACTGCCCCTCTGGGCTGCAGGCTGACTCGCGGCAGAGACCTGGGCAGATCATCAGTACCAACCTGTCCTGGCAGTCAGCTAAGGACTGCACCCAAGGGCACTAGGTATTGGTGCAGATGAGAAGAGGAAGAAGAAAAGAACCATGGAAGAAGACCTGGCTGGCCTGGAGAGTGAAGGAGGGTGTCCTGCTAGCAGTGGGCAGGGACATTCAGCTGGCAAGGACCTGGGGACCTGTTCTCAAAGCTCACACTGACTTGAATAAGAGATCCTGCCATTCTGTGAGCTCTGTAGTGAGTACCATCTCAGCTGGCCTCCCTGTGCCCACTGGCAGTGCCATTAGCAGCTCCTGCAGTTCCACTGGAGGCGCTCCAAGGAAGCAGGGCTGTCCCACTTCACGCCCTTCTCCAGCATGGGCTCCTCCTGCCCTAAGATGCCGGAAAGGTGGGCAAATAAAACAGAGGAGGCCCTGAGTCATCATTCCAGTATGTCACTTCCCTTGGTGACAGACAAGGAGTCCCAGGGAGAAAGAGCCATAAGTACTGCGGCAGAGAGGAAACTAGTCTTGGGGAATTCCCCACCCACACCTGCCAGCCCCTGGCTGCATAAAAGGAAGTTTGCTAAGCTGCTTTCCAGGAGAGCAGACCCACCGACTTTGCCTTCTGTGCACAGCTTGGCTGTCCCATTACCCTGGCCATGACATGGGAAAGAAAGACTCAGTGGCTTAGCAAGTTCCTGCAGGACAAGACTGCTTTCCGGATGCCCACCCAGTGTGCAGCCTCCCATTGCGCTCACCCTGCCTGCTGCCAGCAGTATGTCATCATCAGCTGCCCTCTGGGGCCTGCACAAAGACCACAGTTAGAGAGCCCGGTGAAGAGGCAGATTTCTTCCTGCCCCCCAGCCTTCCCAGACCATGCTGGAGTGGCAGCTGCTGTGACCTCTTCACCTCCAAAGATAGCCTGCCTAATGGTTCCTGTTGGCTCTTCATGGTCTCAGTGTATTCTAGTCAGTTCTTTAGCTCCAAATCGGTAGGCTGTTTTTATGGGCTGATTTCTTCTTCTGAGGTGAAGCTAGTCACTGATGCCACAAAGTCCCCTTGCCATAGGCTCTGCCTCCTACCCCTGCCCCAACCTCATGGGTGCTGTTAGGCAAGCTGAGTACCCCACCTTCTAAGATTGACTCCCCTGCTGCTCCTGCTCATGCACCCCCCATGTTCAAGTCATGCTTGACCTCATCCAGAAGTGAAAATGATGGCCCTTTACCACCTGGTCCCAGAGCCATAGCTGCAGCATCTTCCAACTCCACCAGCCCCACCATGACCAGCTTTCCTCCACCCTAACTGAAAAGCCTGTGTCTGGCAGCCACAGGTCTGCTGCACCTGTACCCTTGGCCAAACACTGCTGCAAGCTGCATGCTGCATTAGCCACAACTCCAACCCTCAGCTGCTCCTGGCTCCACTAGCCGGGCTCCTGCCACCTACACAGTGACCTCTATCACAGCTGCCAGTTCATTCAAAGACTGCTTTTGGCTTTGGTGTCAGTGATATGATCAGTGTCCTGAGAGGAAGACACACTTCTGGCTGCGGTGCCAGTGATGTGATCAGCCCCCTGAGTACAATGAGTGCTTCTGGCTCTGGTGTCAGCCATGCGTGCGAGGTTCCTGACTGTTTTTGGCTTTGGTTTCAGCCTAGTGACAATGCCCTGAGCAGTGTGACCAACACTGCTGCCTACACCACAGCACACCCTTTCCTTTTGCAGGCCCCTCCTGCAGTAGTTACCGCTGTATCTCAGCCCCACCTCTACCTCCCACCCACCTTGGGGTTCTGGATTCGAGTTCTGAAAGCTTCACACCAGGCCAGTATCAGCCACAGTCATCAGCTTGAGCCAGTCCTTTCCCGGGGAAACAAAAATGCTTCCCTGCTCTGATTTTCTTTCTTGCCTGGCATCAGTGTAGGCAAGGTGATCCCTAATCTGTTAGTAATTCTAAACAAGTGGACTGTACTTTTAGAGGATAATTTAGTTCTCTTTCGCATTCAGATCTCTCTCCTACCCTTCCCATACTCAAGAACCTCCCTTTCAGGAAAAATGTTTGTGTGGGTCTAAATTATTAGACAAAGGGGGTTTATATTTTGTAAGTAAGATAATTTGTTGTTGTGTTTAATATAATTTATCTTTCAAATTCCTTCATGCTTTGGGTTGTTAAGATGGTTAAGTATAAATGCTGTTAACGGGAAATTAGCTGTAGTTCTGCATGTACTCCAGATGTGGCCCCCTTTTGTGACTGAGGTTGTATGTCCTGTGGTGGGAACTGCTGCTCCTCAGGACCCAGGAGGCCTCTGGCATCCTGACTTGGTGGTGCGTGACTGCGTTGGGCTGAGGAAGGAGCCTGAACTTTCCCTTGTCTGTACCTCCTAGAATTGGAGAGGGGTGGTGGGACATGGGTGAAGGAAGCAGTCTGTTGGGTGCTCAGCTAGAGCCTCTTAGTGCCCAGAGTTGGTTCCCTTTCAGCTCCAGAGGTAGGATGGTTTGCCCAGCATCCTCCTGCAGATGGTATCCTGGTGGGGTCTGAGAGAGAGTGTTTGTGTGCGAGTGTGTTTAGCATGCCCTGGACAGGAGCAGGAAGAGGGAACTTCCCTCTACAAATCAAACACAGTCTTGATTCCTGTTTAGTCTAGTAGTGATTCTTAGTATGAATTTGAGATTTTTCTTATTTCATTATAAATTTTAAAAACCTATGATCTTAAAAAATATCAAACTGGCATATAGTAAATCTGATATCATTATTTGCTTACTTTGGTATTACAGTGTTAATTTGTTGATGTGTAATGATTTTTCCACATCAGGTAGGTGAAGTGAAAAAAAAAGGAAACCAAATAAGTTTCAGAACTGTGTAGAATGTGCCATCGTCTGTAATGGCGATTCCTGTGTGCCTGCTTGTGTATATGGTGGTAGTCACCTTTTCCTTGCTTTAGCCAAAATATCCAAGCAGTGCTTCTTGGGCAATGAGAAGTTTATTTCAGCTTATAATTTGGAGGTTACAGTTCAGGATAGGTGGCTTGTGTGGACACTGCTCATGGTGCATGTGGAGAACAGTCACGTGTTGAGCTGGGATGCCAAGGACCAGGCTGAGTTCAGCTCAGAATAAGCAACCCAGTCCAGAGAACCACTCACCAAGGCTTCTTAACAAACTATGCATCTTCCACTGGACCCACCTGTCAGTCACAGCACAGCAAGGCTCCACCCTCAATCTATTGCCCATTAACATTAAAGCTGCACAATTCAAACATCCTTATGAGTTTTTTGGAGACTCTTATGAGACCTGTGGTATCTGTGCATATGATATCTGTGCAACCGTATGCAAGACACCAGTAACATTGATTCAGAGAGCAGAACAAGGTGATGGGGAATAGTGACTTTTTATTATGTTCTTTTGTACCTTTTGAATAGGAGCCATAATTAATGTGTCATCTAGCCCCCAAATGTAAATCCAACCAATTTCTTCCCTTCTTTTGAAGCATCTACCCTTTACCATCAAATCAGTCACATTTATAGAATTAATATGAATTGTAATTTTTAGGGAAAAACGGTGTAGTTCAACTTCAGTCCTCTACAGTGGCAAGAAGGTATGGGTGTAAATTTCATTTTGGTAAGTGATAGGGTTGGGTAATTGTGGCATTACAGGTAAACATGCTGCAATCCCAACATCCCATGTGGATGAGGGTTTGTGTCCCGGCTGCCACACTTCCCATCCAGTTCCCTACTACTGATCTCGGCATAGCAGCAGCAGGTGATCGAAGCGGTTGGAGCCCTGCCACTCACGTGGGAGACACAAATAAAATTCTAGGCTCTTGGCTTTGGCTTGGTCGAGCACTAGTCTTTGCACCACCTGGGGGTAAACCAGACAAGGGAGGATTCCTCTGTCTTTATTAGTCCTTATATCTCTGTAACTTTGACTTCTAAAATAAAGAAGTATTTTTAAAGATAAAAGTTTTAATCTGAAGTGCTTGGTTTCAAAAGGAGTATATCTTTTGAAAATGTCTTAAGATTTGTTGCTTGGGCCCGGTGGTGTGGCCTAGCAGCTAAAGTCCTCGCCTTGAATGCTGGGATCCCATATGGGCGCCGGTTCTGGTCCCGGCAGCTCCACTTCCCATCCAGCTCTCTGCTTGTGGCCTGGGAAAGCAATTGAGGACGGCCCAAAGCTTTGGGAACCTGCACCCGCGTGGGAGACCCTGAAGAAGTTCCTGGCTTCGGATCGGCATAGCACTGGCCATTGCGCTCACTTGGGGAGTGAATCATTGACGGAAGATTTTCCTCTCTGTTTCTCCTCCTCTCTGTATATCTGCCTTTCCCATAAAAATTAAAAAAAAAAAAAAAGATTTGTTCCTTGTCACAGTAAGTATGACACAAGGAACTTATTAGAACCTGTTACAAGGTTTTTGCAGAATGTGGGGGTCATCTTTTCAGGAGTGTAGAAGCTACGAAATCAGGTTTGAATATGTTTCAGCTGTAGAATATAGCATAGAAACTATTTTTTTTATTTTTTGATGTCAGCAACCACAGAAATTTGGTTCCCAGAAATTTTGTGTGTGCAGGTGTGATTTCTGAGATCGAATTTGGATAAAAATTCTAGTTAATTTAAATGTATTACACTTCTGGACAGATATATGTAAGTACCTGTACAGCTTGGCTATAGAGCTCTTTCTTTTTCGTGAGAGTTAATTGCCACTTTTTGGTGTTGCTAGGATTTGGAGTGGATCAGTTACGAGATGACAATCTGGAAACTTACTGGCAGTCAGATGGTTCCCAGCCTCATTTAGTGAACATCCAATTCAGGTAATATATTTTTAATTTTTTCTTGTACTATGGGATATAAATGAGCAAGAGGATTAATTTTATTTACATGAAATTTAAAGAATAGAAATTAATGGCTGGCATTGTGGCTTAGTCGGTTGAACCTCTGCCTACAATGCCAGCATCTCATATAGTGCCAGTTCAAGTCCTGGTTGTTCCACTTCCAAATGAGCTGCGTACTCATCCACCTGGGAAAGTGATGGAAGATGACTCACGTGCATGGGCTCCTGTACTCGGGGGGAAGAATTGGAGAAAGCTCCAGGCTCATGGGTTTCATCTGGGCTAAGCCTGGCCATAATGGCCATTTGGGGAGTGAATCAGCAGACAGAAGATCACTTTCAAGTGAAATTACTCTTTTAAAAAGACAATAAAAATTAATGTCCTGTATTATGAATTCTCTCTTTTTATCTGTAAGGGTTACTTTTATTGGAAAGTAAGATTTACAGAGAGGGCTTACAGAGAGAATGATCTGTCTGCTGGTTCACTCCCCAAGTGGCTATCATGCTGGAGTTGAGCCAATACAAAACTAGGAGCTTCTTCTGGGTCTCCCAGGTGGTTGCAGGGTCCTGAGGCTTTTGGTCCATCCTCTGCTGCTTTCCCAGAGCATAAGCAGGGAGCTGGATGGGAAATGGAACAGCCAGGACATGAATCAGTGTCCATATGGGATGATGGTGCCTGCAATGGGAGGACTAGCCAGTTGAACCATTGTGCTGGGCCCTGTGTATAAACTTAAGTCATGGAGGTTATCTTCGGGCATCCTAAGATTGCACGCATCATAAGTTGAATCTGTCTGAATCTTTGTGAATTTCTTTTTTTTTTTTTTTATTTTTTACTATTTATTTATTTATTGGAAAGGTGGCTATACAGAGAGGAGAGACAGAGAGGAAGATCTTCCATTCAATGGTCCACTCCCCAAGCGGCCACAGCGGCTGGAGCTATGCCGATCAGAAGGCAGGAGTCTCCTCGGGGTCTCCCATGTGGGTGCAGGGTCTCAAGGCTTTGGGCCGTCCTCAACTGCTTTCCCAGGCCACAAGCAGGGAGCTGGATGGGAAGTGGAGCCGCTGGGATTAGAACCAGCACCCATTTGGGATCTGGGAGTTTTCAAGGCAAGCACCTTAACCACTATGCTATTGCGCCCGGCCCCGTGATATGATATCTTATGATATCTTGCAGTTTCTTTTAAATATATATATTTCAAACATGGCTTTTAAAGCAACTTATTTTAAAACAAAAAGTATCAGTTTACTTATTTGGTTTGCTAAGACCTAATATAATGTGTTAATATATTGTGGCAAGTTAAACTGGAGTGATGATAATAAATGCTTTGGCTCTAGAGCATTCCTGTAATTTCACAAATTTGTACTTATAATTGGAAAAAATGATTTTGACTTAAAAGCTCTCAGGACATTTTCAGTTTTGAAAATACTTTTGGGGGCTCAGTGCAGTAGCCTAATGGCAAAAGTCCTTACCTTGTGTGCACCAGGATCTCATATGAGTGCTGGTTACCATCCAGCTCCATGCTTGTGGCCTGGGAAAGCAGTCAAGGACAACCCAAAGCTTTTGGGACCCTGCACCCGCATGGGAGACCCAGAAGAAGCTCCTGGCTCCTGAGGCTTTGAACTGGCTCATCTGCAGCCATTGTAGCCACTTGCAGAATGAACCAGTGAACAGATCTGTCTCCCTGTTTCTCCTTCTCTCGGTAAATCTGACTTTCCAATAAAAATAAATAAAGCTTTAAAAAAGAGTTATAGGAGAAAATAAAAATAGCTATATATTTATTAAGTGCTTTCAAATGATGGACTTAGATGGACACCAGTTAACTTGTTACCTTGCTCCAGTCTTATCACCAGCCGTGAGATCTCCCATGTGGTGACAGGATAGGTCTGTTGCCTACAAGGGTACAACTGGATCAGAAGCGGTGGAGCTGGAACTAAAATCAGACACTCCAGTTTGGGACACAAGCATCACAATAGTAACTTAATTGCTATACCAATGCTTGTACTTTCCTTTAATCAAATGTTTTTATTTTTTTTTAATTTCCATTTTTATTTAAAAGAGAAACCAGTACACAGGTAAACTTTAGAGAATATATGTTTTCTTTTTTTTAATCTCCTAACAACCTTCCAAGATATAGATACTATATGTATATATATATATATATATTTCAATTTGAGATCTAGAAAGGCGAAGTAATTGTGCAGGTAATACACCTTGAATGTACAGCTTTTTGTTTGTTTCCTCATTTTTTTTTTCTGTATCTGGGATTAAAACGGAGATAAAGGGAGAAGCCCCACCCAGCTTCCCACACATCCCAGGTCCCCAATGTGGGACATACTCTGAGGGTCCTGCTCAAATGGTTTGTATTATTCAACAGTTCTGAATTGCTGCCAGTCTCGCTAGAATCCACTGGTTGACGTAGTCCACCTTAGAGTCTTCGTTTGCACAGATTTTCACTGCCAACACTTGGCTGGGGTAGTTGATCGATTTGTTCTGTCCTCCATTCTTTAATGTGGTACCAGGTGTCCTCTGCAGGTTTTGATGGACTGCCATATCTTCCATGTGCACCTGGATATACTGTCCACTGCTCTGTCTAAGCCTCTGAGGAGGCTAAGCTTTGACACTTGCACTCGATGGTCAGACCACGGAACCTGCACTTCTCTGTATGGTTAGGGTTCTGAGTCCTGCAGTTTTATTGGAGAGATCCCCAAAGAATCTTTGTCTGAGGTGATCCCAGACCTGATGCTTGTGTGTGCTTGCCAGTACAGGGTCTGACACAGTCTGTCGTCCCAGTCAGTGGGTGGTTGCAATCGCTGGGTGAGTTCTATTTCCAGCCCTGTCTTCCACACGAACCAGTGAGTGTTGCAGTACAGCCTGATTCTGCCCAGCAAACACTTGGCCCTCACGCAAACCAGTGAGAGCTGCAGCCTGGTCAGAGCAACCTGCAATAACCCCTGTCAGGCACTCTAAGATAATTTCTGGTGGACAAGATTAGCTTCCTTATTCAGACATGGCTTTTTGGGGGTCTTAAATGAAAGCCATAGATGCTCGAAGAAGATTGTACTTTTGCTTTGGGAGCCCTGGGAATTGTTTGTTAATTCAGACTTTCCCCTTCCTTCCAAATTTTTCTGTCCCTGTGCTGCTGTGTTTGACCTACTAGAGGTGATCAGGCCAACTCCGGGGGACCTCCTGGAGATTTCTGGAATATGTTTTGCTGTGTAGCTCTGTCATCAACTCAGTGAAGTTGCTTGGCTTCTCCCTCTCTTCATTGCAGTCCAGAGATTGCCTGAATGTAAAATCCTGATATTTATGGCAATATGGATGGAACTGAAAAGAAATATCAGGAATAAAGCACAGAAAAACAACTCCTGTGTGTTCCCAGTTAACATAAGGGTATTTCACAAGGTTTGTGAAAAATGTGTGTTAGCTTTTTGTTTCATTTTTCATGAAGTTTTTGAAGCACTCACATATGTAGAGGCTGATAAAGTTGATCTAATAGTGCTAAAGGGGAGAATAGTGCATAGCAAAGGCTGAGGGAGCTGACGGAGGACCCAGGGGTACAATTGACTAGGAGGAATACCGTTTGAGGTCTGTAGCACAGGGGAGTAACCATGGTTGAGAACATTTCATCGTGTATTTAAAGCTTGCTAGGAGAGAGAATTTTCAGTGTTATTAAGACAAATGATAAAAGCTTGAGGTGATGGACATTACCAGTTGCCTTGGTCTGATCATCACAGGTTGTATAGTAGTATTTAAATAGTATACTGTAGCCCTTAGATATGCATAATAATGTGTCCATGAAATCAATAGTAAGATTTTACTCTACCTTTTAGAATAATCTTACTTTTAAAAGCTTGTGGTGAGGTCAAGTTTCTTTGCAAATCTAATGGCTATGTTTATATCATAATGTATACCTGTGATCTCTAGGGATGTATGAACCTGAGATATATGAGCCCATGCTTTAGGTAAAGAATTGCAGACACCCTCCTGTCACTGTAAATTTGTATCAGTAACTATTGAGTAAGTGCAGTCAGGTCAAAGGAAGACAGTGCTGGGCAGGGTTCCTTGAGGCAGGCAGACATGTTCACTGCGACTGCAGAGCTACGTTACCTCAAGCCAGGTATTAGCATGCTAATATTTATTTAGTGAATGGAGATAGCAATGGTTGCTATGTCACGAGGTTGAGAAATAAATGAGGTAGAATATATAAAGCGTTTGTGTTTGGGCCATATCTCCTTGCTATTTGCTAACCTGGTGACGAAGTTGTCCTGAATTTGTAGGACAGTTTCATAATGTAGAAATAGAATCACTCTGAGAAAAAAAAAAAACTGATCCTTTAGATTGGCTTTTGCCTTTTTTTAATACCAAAAATCTTAATATTATTCATGATCTTTGGTCTTGGCATGGTAAGAAAGACGTTCTGTACTCAGGATGCCCTTTGAAATGTCTCCCTGTTCCTTTGCTTTCTCTGCTTTTCTTCCCTAACCCAGCAGAAAAGATGTCAACTTGATGCCTCTGGCTTCTTTCGGAAACCAGGCCGCAGTTACTTGTCCTGTGTGTAGTTTTTAGATGCTAGCTGTTTCGCATCTTGGGCTGAGGCAGTCTGTTACTGGCTCCATTCCTTCCTGATGGATAGCTTACGTTGTGGAAGCTTGCTCTCCTCAGTGCTGTATATGCCCTGCTGCCCTTAGAGACTGGCTTTTGGTCCGGAGTACTTTCCAAAGAGACCACTGTAATTAAGACAGTGCCTGTTTCTGGTAGAATTTAACTCTTAAGGTACAGTTAAATAGATTCCTTAATTTTGGGATCCATTTTTAAAAATTGTTCCATGTTCTCCCTCTTGTGGTCAAATAATATTTGCTCATTCTGAAAAGTTATTTAGAAAACAAAACCTCCCATGGGTCTACAACACTAAAATAGTAGATTTTTTATTTTAATGACTGCAGTTAAACTTTTTTTGTATATATTAGCAAGGATTCATATTTCTTAAAAATGGTTTTTTGCTTTCCTTAACGTACAGTCTTGTATATGCTGTCTTACAATCTACTTTGTAAGTCACATACTCGCATGATGATTTTCAAGTTTTATTTTTATTTTTTAATGTGCTAGAAAGGCTGATCAAGAGACAGAAAACCTTCCTCTACTGTTTTGTTTCAAGTACTCACAATAGTCCTTGCTCGGTCAGACTGAAGGCTGAAGGCTGGAGCCTCCCATGTGGGTGGGTTTCCCATGTGGGTGGGTTTCCCATGTGGGTGGGTTTCCCATGTGGGTGTCACGTAGACAACCTGTTGGACCATCACTTGGCTGCTGCCTCACCAAATGAAACTAAGAATGAGGAATAGAACTCAGGTGCTCTAATGGAAGATGTGGACATCTGGAGCAGTGTCTAACAAGTGGGCCAAGTGCCCACTCATGCGTGGTTATTTTAAATATTAATACTCTTGTACTTAGTGACTGGGTTAAATTAAAAATATAGTTACAGAAAAAACATTTACTATACTTACACTATGTGTTTGGCAACGCAGGACTTTGTAGAATGTTTATTGTTTTGTTTGCCCTTCTAATTGTGTGCCTGTGTACCTTATAAAACTTGCTAAAACTGTTTTCTAATCAGATTTGGGTATTTGTTATTTTAATATGTTCTAATACAATAAAGCTCGTATTTCTGTTCAATTATTTCAATTTCTTTGACTATCAGAAATTGAACTTTTTCATATTTTTTTGGCTACTTACATTTTGTATTGCACATTTTTTGCTTATTTCTCCAGGTTATGTTTATACATATAAATACAGTTACACACACGTATATAAACAAGAACGTAATTGAATTTTTGAATTAAGTAATAGGTTACACTTTGTTTTTTAATTTTGCTTGATTACATTTTTCGCTTATTTTTCAGCTTGATTATAGGAAATTAAATGGTAAATAAAACCAAGCTTGTTGTAAACATATCTGTCTGAAATATAGATGAAGAGGATGGAATCCTGAGTATCTGTAAACAGACTAGGTACCTCATCGGGCTCGACTGTGCCTTCGTCGAGCAGCTTTTGTTCGCATCTGGCTCTTGGGCAAGTTCTGCGTAAGAAATGACTAAGTGAAATACCTGTGTATATTTTCACATGTTCTCAATTTTTGTTATTGAAAGAAATGGGAAGTATTAATTCTAGTACTAATTTACATCAGAAGTGAAGGTAGATCTTGCCATATGCTAAAGCGTGTGTGTTGCTTTTCCCTGATTGTTTTTAGGAGAAAAACAACAGTGAAGACATTATGCATTTACGCAGACTACAAATCTGATGAAAGCTATACTCCAAGCAAGATCTCGGTCAGAGTAGGAAATAATTTTCACAATCTTCAAGAAATTCGGGTATGTTTTTCAAATATTTAACATGTGTCATCTTTTAAGTCTGGCTCTTCACAGGGTAGTAGCATTAGATTAACAAAATATTGTGTAAGAGGAGAATTATTAATAGTGAAGGAAGCATGGTTGTATGAATTTTAGTTTCTTTTGAATACTGATTGGTGTTTTTATTTTTTAAAACATTATGGAAATGTTCAGATATACAAAAAAGATAAAAACATTATACAGTAAAACCAATAAATGCAGCTCCAAGATTCCCTCCAGTAGTTAGGATTTTGCTATATTTGCTTTATTACATCTATCCCAGTAATTTTTCATGTATTTCAAAATGAGAAACATATCTGTAAATTTCACAATATTTCAGCATAATATATTATTAGCATTTGTTTAATGCTTTTTAATGATAAATTTTTGATACAATCACACACAAATCTTGAGTGGAATATTTGGTGGTTTTGATAAATGCATACATCTTTGTAACCCCAACTACGATTAAGATGTAAACACTTTTGTCATTCCATAAAACTGTTATTCATATTATCTTTATATCCATTGCTTTTTATAACTATTATTCTGCATTTATTTATTTATTTATTTATTTCCGTGGATCAGCATTGCGTGTTGTAGAATTTTAGATAGGCTCGTTATGTCTTTTTGGAGATAATCATGTTGCGTATGCAAACACTTCATTCTTTCTCATCCTGAACTCTACTCCGTTGCTTGAGTATACCACTGTATACTTTGTGTTTAACTTTTTGCAGCTCTTGAGTCTATTTTTTTATCTTGATTTTGCTAGTTATCAAATATGAACATTTCATTAATATTCTCTGTGACCTTGAACTGTTTCCTTCTGAAACTCTGGTTCTTGCCATTTTTTTGGATCAGAAGACCATTGAAATGAACTTTGTTAAGACAGTCTGGGAAACACTTGTTGGCTTTGAAAGACCTCCTGTTAATTTGTGGCCTGAACTCTTTGACTTAGGTTTATGCTAAAGGCAAAATACTTAACCATTTCCATTGTCTCACATATTTTATCTTTTGTGGCTAAAATACTCCCTTAATACCCTGAAGAATGTAACACGTGGTGGTGTGGTTGTCACTCTGCGTAGCTCTCTTGGACTTACTTCTCCCATACAGTGAAAGTTTGCATTCCTTGACCTGCATCTCTCCAAACCACTCCCTCGCTCAGCCTTTGAAAACCATCGTTCTGTTACTGTATCAACTCAAGTTTTGGAGATTCCATATACTCCTTTTTTTTTCTCTAAAATTTATTTATTTTTATTGGAAAGGCAGATGTATAGAGAGAAGGAGAGATAGAGAGAAAGATGTCCCGTCTGTTGATTCACTCCCCAAGTGACCACAACAGCCAAGCTGAGCCACTCTGAAGCCAGGAGCCCAGAGCCTCTTCTGGATCTCCCATGTGGGTGCAGGGTCCCAAGGTTTTGGGCAATCCTTGACTGCTTTCCCAGGTCATGTGCAGGGATCTAGATGGGAAATGGGGCCGCCAGTATTAAAACTGGCACCTGCATGTTATCCTGACACATGCAAGGTGAGAACTTTAACCAATAGGCTACTGTGCCAAGCCCTCCACATACTCTTATAAGTGAAGTAATATAGTATTTTTCTTTCTGTGCCTGGCTTATTAACATAATGACCTCCCATCCATTCACAATGTTCTTTTCAGGATGAATATTGTACCATTGTGTATACATGTCATTTTTTTCTTTATTCTTTTGTTACTTGATGGACACTTGGGTTGCTTGCCGGTTTTGGTTGTTGTGAATAATGCTGTGGTATACAATGGAATGCAGATATGTCTTCAACATACTGCAGTCAGGCCTTTTAGTATAAACCAGTAATGATGCTGCTGGATCATATTTTTAATTTTTTGAGGTAACTAGATGCCATTTTCTCTGATAATGCTTCTAGAATACATGTCCATCAGCAGTGTGCTGTGTCCCATATTCCTCATAACCTCATTGGCATTTATCTTTCTTTGTTTTTATGATAGAATAATTGATAATTCTAACAGTTATGAACCTCATTGTGGTTATGTGTTCGCTGCTTTGTGTCTTTATTTAAGAAATATTCATGGGCCTGGCGCTGTGGCCTAGTGGCTACAGTCCTTGCCTTGAACGTGCCGGGATCCCATATGGGCGCCGGTTCTAATCCCAGCAGCTCCACTTCCCATCCAGCTCCCTGCTTGAGACCTGGGAAAGCAGTTAAGGACAGCCCAAAATTTTGGGACCTTGCGCCTGTGTAGGAGACCTGGAAGGAAGTTCCAGGCTCCTGGCTCTGGATTGGCACAGCACCGGCTGTTGCGCTCACTTGGGGAGTGAATTATCAGATGGAATATCTTCCCCGCTGTTTCTCCTCCTCTCTATATATCTGACTTTGTAATAGAAAATAAATAAATCTTTTTTTTTAAAGATTTATTTTTATTATGTTTTTATTCGAAAGGTGGATATACAGAGAGGAGAGACAGAGAGGAAGATCTTCCATCCGATGATTCACTCCCCAAGTGAGAGCAACAGCCGATGCCATGCCGGTCCGAAGCCAGGAACCTCTTCCGGGTCTCCCGCGTGGGTGCAGGGTCCCAAAGCCTTGGGCCATCCTCTGCTGCTTTCCCGGGCCACAGGCAGGGAGCTGGAAGGGAAGCGGGGCTGCCGGGATAGAACCAGCACCTATATGGGATCCTGGGCATGCAAGGCAAGGACCTTAACCACTGCGCCACTGCGCCGGGCCCGAAAATAAATAAATCTTAAAAAAAAGAAATATTCGGGCCCGGCAGCGGCGTGGCCTAGCGGCTAAAGTCCTCGCCTTGAACGCCCGGGATCCAATATGGGCACCGGTTCTAATCCCGGCAGCTCCACTTCCCATCCAGCTCCCTGCTTGTGGCCTGGGAAAGCAGTCGAGGACGACCCAAAGCTTTGGGACCCTGCACCCGTGTGGGATACCCGGAGGAAGTTCCTGGCTCCTGGCTTTGGATTGGCATAGCATTCGCTGTTGCGCTCACTTGGGGAGTGAATCATCAACGGAAGATCTTCCTCTCTGTCTCTCCTCCTCTCTGTCTATCTGACATTCCAATAAACAAATAAATCTTTAATAATAATAAAAAAAGAAATATTCATGCCCCAAACCACTTTTTAATCAGGTAGTTTTCTTGTCCTTTAGTTGAATTCCTTGCATATTTTGTATATTAATCCTTTTTCACATGTATGGCTTTACAATATTTTCTCCAGGGTCTGGCACGGTATCCCAGTGGCTAAAGTCTTCACCTTGCATGTGCCTGGATCCCATATGGATGCCCATTCTTGTACTAGCCATCCCACTTCCCATCCAGCTCCCTGCTTTGTTGCCTGGGAAAGCAGTAAAGGCTGGCCCAAAGCCTTGGGACCCTGAACTCATGAGGGAGACACAGAAGAAACTCTTGGCTTCTGGCTTTGGATTAGCTGAGCTCCAGCTGTTGTAGCCACTTGGGGAGTGAGTAAATGGACAGAAGATCTTTTCTGTCTCTCCTCCTCTCTGTTTATCTGATTTTTTTCAATAAAAATAAATGCACCTAATGAAAAAAAGAAAGAAATATTTTTTCCAGCCTATAGATGATCTCTTCCCACTGTTGATTTTTTGCCCCTTTCTGTGGAGAAACTTTCTTTTTTAGTTTGGTATATTCCCGTTTGCTTGTTTTTGCTTTTGTTGCCTGTACTTTTGTGGTCATATCTAAAACATCATAGCCCAGATCAGTGTTAAGAAGCTATTCTCCTATGTTTTCTTAATTTTGGGTCTTGGGTTTAGGTTTCTAGTTCATTTAGAGTGTTTTATCATGTGCAGATGCTAAGTTCTGGCACTCTTTTCCCTTTTGAGTCAGCCATGTTATCCCTTCTGTTACTGTGCTGCATCAGTTTTACAGATTTGCACGTGTTGAAGAATTCTTTATATTTCTGGAGTACATCCTGCCTGATGATGGCGAATGGTCTACATACATGTCAATGAGGATTTTTCTATCTGTGTTTATCAAGCATATTAGCCTACAGGTTTTTTTCCTGTGTTTCTGTCTGGTTTTGATATCAGGCTACTTTGTACCTTATAAAAAGTTTGGGAATATTCCTTTGTCAGTGTTTTGAAAGAGTTTTGGAAGGGTTGGTTTAATTTCTCTTTAGATATTTGGTGGAATTTAGCAATGAAATCTTGATGTTTTACTTTGATGGGAGATTTTCTGATTTTTTTTAAAGCTTTTTTTTGAAAGGTAGAGTTGCGATCAGAAAGGTGGAGAGAGAGAAAGATTTCATCTGCTATACCCTCCTAAGTTCTGCAGTGGCCTTGGGTGGGCCAGGTTGAATGGTCTCCCATGTGGGTGCAAAGATCCCAGAACTTGGGCTATCTTTCACTGCTTCCCCAGGTATATTAAGAGGGAGCTGGATTGGAACTGGGCAGCTGGGACTCCAGTGGGCACCCATATGGGATGCCAGTGCTTCAGCTGATGGCTTTACCCTGCTATACCATACTGCCAGGCCTTACATATTCTCTTTCTGGGTGACACTTTTAAGCATTGTACTGTGAATTTTGTCTTTTTTTTTTTTTTTTTTTACCACTTTTGACTTAAGTTTTGCCTGCTTGTTTGTTTTTATTTTTCTGATAAAAGTTTGTATGGGAGCCTGGGTCTACAGGGAAGTTCTGGAGCCTCAGTTCATGGATTTTAGCCTCACCCTGGAGTCTAGTGGGGTGGTCATGGAGCCTGGAGCTGCAGGGACCAGCCTAAAATCTGCATCCAATCTAGTTCTAGGGCAAGTGAGAGAGTGGGTATGTGAATGCTGTCATGGAGGCTAGGACCTATGAGGACTGGAGGAAACAGCCAAGGAACATGGATCCATTGAAGTGGCCCAAGAGCCTGGGTCTGTGGTTCCTAGCTTGAAAGTGGAGTATCCTGGGCCTTGGCTGTGCTGGAGCTTGGGGTCACAGAGATCCCACAAGGGTTCTAACCTAGATCCAGGTGGGCCTGAGCCTGG